ACCCCTCCAGAGCAACAGAAGATAGTCGCTCTGGGGTGTATCCAGCGGCACGAAGGGAGGCTTGTGTCACGAAGCAGCTTGGCTCAATTTGGATACGCATTAGGGATGCACCGATACCGATACTAAGTATTTGGGTAAGTACTCGTACTCGCCCAAATGCTCCGATACCTAGCACGAGTACTTCCTGTATCGGGAAGCCGGGCAGCGAATCATTACACGCTGCCCGGTTTCCTGATTGGCCAGGAAACGGCTCCATGCTCTCTCGTCACTTGTGATGACAGAGCATGGAGCCGACTTCCCGGCCAGTCAGGAAGCCGGGTAGCGTGCAATGACGCGCTGCCCGGCTTCCCGATTGGTCAGGGAGCTAGCAAATCCGGAAGCCGGGCGCCGTGTAATGACGCAGCGCCCGGCATTCTGATTGGCCGGGAAGCCGGCGTCATGCTCCCTCGTCATCTCATGGATCATAATATTAAGAAAGTGACCTTAAAGCATTAGTTTGTATTGCTTTAGAAAAAATGTGACCTGTCCCTTTAAGAAAAAGTATCGGTAATTGGTATCTGCGAGTACTTGACCAAAAGTATCGGTACTCGTACTCGGTCTTTAAAAAAGTGGTATCGGTGCATCCCTAATACGCACCATCACAGGTATCATAATAAAAGATGAAGAGTGGGGATTGGCGAGGGGGGTAGACCATTATTTTTAAAGAGCTCTCTTGCTGCGCTAGGGTGAGTTTTTTGTTTTTTTTTGTCACGCTGGATGAGCATTGCGATCGTATCTGACAAGAGACGCGGGATGCTGACCGAATGTGTTTTATTGTCGATGTTTCAGCCATGTGATTGTCCTGGGAGATGTGAACACCTCGCACAAGCCCATCGACCACTGTGATCCAGATGATCTGGTGAGTACAGCTTCCTGGTCGCTGTGTTGGCAACGTGTGTTGTATTTTTTGGGGGGGATTTAAGATCCAAACAAAAGCTCAAATCCTGGTTTGAGTTGTTCGGACATCAGAACATTTATCAGCAATGCTATTTACAAAAGGGTGGAGAGTTTAGAGTGGAGGTGCACCGAAATGAAAAAAAATGTTGAACCGAAAATGTTTTTTTTTTGTAACTTTTTCAGATTAAAAAAAAAATATTTTATATTTATTTA